CGGGATTTTGGACATACACACGGTTTGATTCTTGAGCCACTGGGTCCAGGACTTGAACCACTGTCAGCCATGGGGGGAGACCAGCACCTTAACCACCACGCCTCCTGCAGGCCCCGTCCCACTGCATGGACACACCATATTCTGTCTGTGTTCAGCCAGTGAAGGTCCTGTGGGCGTTTCCTTCCTGGCTGCTCTGAGCTTGGCTGCTGTGAACTCCCACAGTGTTCTGGGATGTACCTTTTCCTCCTCTGGGGTGGATCTAGTGCTGGAACTGCTAGGTCATACGACTTCATGTTTCCCATCTGGAGGACCAGCCAGACATCCCCTAACATGGCTGCGGCACTCCGCGTTCCTACCACGGTTGTGCCAGGGCCCTGATTTCTCCACGTCTTTGGCGACACTTGTGACGGTCTTTCTGGTTACAGCCATCCTAGCGGGCGTCAAGTGGGATCTCCCTGCTTGATATGCATTTCCCTAAGGAGTATGACATTAGCCGACTTCCGTGTGCTTATTGGTTACGTTCACATATTCTTTTTTTTTGGAGAGGTTTTCGCTATAGGGCGCGTGCTCTGGCCAGACAGACAGAGAGACAGAAAGCGAGAAATCACCCCCCGGGGGGGATGGCCACGCCACAATCCCTTCTCCTCCATTCTCCTCTCAGGATTTTGGGCATGCACACACATGCGCCCAGTATGAGTATTAAGTCGCCGGGTCTGGGACTTGAATCTTGGTTGACTATGTAGGAGTCCCACGACATAGCTATTACACCATCTGCTGGTCCGTATTTATTTATTTTTTGCTGCAGGGCATGTGCACTTGCCAGAGACAGAGACAGGGACAGAGAGAGAGAAAGTGAGAAATCACCCCATAGTGGGGATGGGCATGGTGCAATCCCTCCTCCATTTTCCTTTGGGTTTTGTAAACACACGCAAATGCACTCCACACACTTTTCAAGCCACCGGGTCTGGGTGGGATCTAGCCCCCTCGACCACCACGCCATCCGCTGGCCCAAGATATACTGTGTTTTTATTAGTCATTAACTTATTTGAAAGTTTTGTCACGCTCGGCCTGGCCCATTACAAAGCCATGCATTTTCCTCCGTAGGACCACCTGGTCCCGTGGAGCCTGTGTCCACCCCCAGAGGCACAGCGCACACAGGTAAGTGGAAAAGCGGGTCTAGATTATGTATCGGGGACGTTTCCTCTAGGAAAAGAGCAGCGAGCTATGAGCGAGAGCAGCTGAGAGAGTCTCTTTTAGGCTGGTCAGGGAGGACTTCCCGGAGGTGGTGACACTGGAGCTGAGCTGTGAAGGACTCCGCCTGTGAAGTGTAAGGGAAAACATTCCATGTGGAACCGACAGGACACTTTCCAACTTTGCTCTTACAGTAAGTTTTATGTGGGCTGCTGGGTTAAAATGATTTTTTTTCATTTTGATGTGTGTGCTCACCAGAGAAAGAGAGAGAGAGGGAAAGTGAGAAATCACCCTCTGGGGGCATGGCCACACTGCAATCCCCCGCCTCCATTCTCCTCTCAGGATTTTGGGCATGCATACACATGTGCACTTTGTGATTTTCAAGCTGCCAGGCCTGGGATTTGAACTGTGGTCAGCCATGTAGAAATACAGCACCTTAACCACTACACCACCTGCTGGCCCTGAGATGATATTTTCTATAAGAGCTGTTTCGGGATATCATTACATGTAGATTCTTCAACAAGCAGTTAGAGTTCACTAGATGAAGTCTCTTTTATTTTTAATTTCTTTTTTTTTTTTGAGAGATATTTTTGCTATAGGGTGAATGCATTTGCCAAAGACACAGAGAGAGAAAGTGAGAAATCACCTACCCCCAGGGGAGGGGGATAGCCACAGCCACGCTGCAATCCCGTCTCCTCCACTTTCTTCTTGGGTGTTTGGGCACATATGCACACGCACATGCACACGCACCCGGTGTGAGTTTCAAGCCACTGGGTCTGGGACTTGAACCACGGTTGGCCATGTGGGAGGTCAGAGCCGCAACCCCTACGCCATCTGCTGGTCCCTGGATGAGGCCCTTATCTTAGTTCAGAAGTCTCTGAAGTAAAAAACGCCCTGAAAAAGAATGGCTTGTGAAACTGATTCTGGAAAGCAGAATCTCTCTTTTCTTGACCCCCTCAAATTAAATTCTTGCACAAAACCAGTGTCACGTCTTTTACATGACTATCATGTGTACAGTGGTATGTAGGAAACGAATTATCAAAGATAGTACCCATCTTTCTGCTGACGGCCAAATGTCAGCTCCAGACGGAGAAGCAACCCTGAGAGAGCAGCAGCCGTGCGTCCTTCCACGGCAGGTCCCACCTCTGCCACACGTGCGTTCTGAGCGTGTGGACTGGGGGAGCCTTCGCGATAAATAAGCAGTTGATAATAAGCAGCAGGAGGAACACTGGGACTGTCCACGTGTATTCAGATCAGTGAGAGAATAAGAGGACACCCTGTTTCAGCTGGCAACAGCAGGGGACACGACCCTCCCAAACCCCACGGCCCTGAAGCAGAGGACAGGAAGGTTTGTAAAGGCAAAACCCACAACCTAACAAACCACAAGGCTTTCAGTTATGTGACAGCCGTTTACAGAAGCCCAAGAGCGAGTTCCAGGAAGGACAGTTGTCACTGGCAGCACCTGCTGGTGAGGTGGGTACCTGCATATGTAAGCACCCCGTTCTACATGTGAACAGGCTGTGCAAATATCCACATGTGTGAGGACCCCATCCTACATGTGAACCAGCGGTGTGAGTATCCGCAGATGTAAGTACCCCATCCTATATGTGGACAGGCGGTGTGAGTATCTGCAGGTGCGAGGACCCCACCCTACACGTGAACAGGCCGTGTGAGTATCTGCCAGATGTGAGGACCCCATTCTATATGTGAATAGGCCATGTGAGTATCTGCAGGTGTGAGGACCCCATCCTACACGTGAACCGGTGGTGTGAGTATCCACATGTGTGAGGACCCCATCCTACACGTGAATAGGCCGTGTGAGTATCCACATGTGTGAGGACCCCATCCTACATGTGAACAGGCCACGTGAGTATCCGCAGGTGTGAGGACCCTGTTCTACATGTGAACAGGTGGAGTGAGTATCCACAGGTGTGAGGACCCCATTCTATATGTGAATAGGCCATGTGAGGATCCACAGGTGTGAGGACCCCATCCTACACGTGAACTGGCGGTCTGAGTATCCGCAGGTGTGAGGACCCCATCCTACACGTGAACCAGCAGTGTGAGTATCCACAGGTGGGAAGACCCTGTTCTGTATGTGAACAGGCCGTGTGAGTATCCACAGGTGTGAGGACCCTATTCTACATGTGAACAGGCGGAGTGAGTATCCGCAGGTGTGAGGACCCCATCCTACACGTGAACAGGCCGTGTGAGTATCCGCAGGTGTGAGGACTCCATCCTACACATGAACTGGCAGTGTGTGTATCCGCAGGTGTGAGTACCCCATCCTACAAGTGAACAGGCGGTGTGAGTATCCGCAGGTGTGAGTACCCCATCCTACACGTGAACAGGCCGTGTGAGTATCCGCAGGTGGGAAGACCCCGTTCTGTATGTGAACAGGCCGTGTGAGTATCCGCAGGTGGGAAGACCCTGTTCTGTATGTGAATAGCTTCTGGAAGGTTAACCCTCTGCCCTGGAACCGCAGAGCCCGAACACCGTCTTGTCAGCGTAAATGAAACACATAACCAGAGATTTCCGAGGAAATTCTTGACAACAGGCTGCTTTAGGCCCCTTCAAGCATCAGGCCTGCTGTTGTCCCAGACTGGAGTCTCAGCGCCGGGTTTGACCTAATAAGGCACCACCCCCTGGAGTAGGCACCAGGGCCCGC